GTATAATACTTTGCTTACAGATAATAATAAGTGTTGAAGATTAATTAGACTTCATCAACTGGCAAGAAACGTGTCAAAAATGTGTCGCTCTTGGTATACTTTTTGCTGCACAAGTGGCATTGTTTTGAAAGTTCATAGCGTTAATTTAAAACCATCGATACAGTTCCTTTTTTTGGCTTTGTTCTCTTTCATTTGTGTTCATGTTTGGTGTATCATACATACCCTTACAGCTGCTTGTTCACTCATCCTTTTGTTCATTTTTTAACCTTCTTTTTATTTGTTTGTACAATCAGTTCAATGTTTCAGAGTTGCTTCAAGGATAAAAACCTATCTTTTTGCTCGATCGGTGCTGTTGAGGATCTGGGTCTTGATTTACATATGTCTACTGTGTAGCTTTGCTTGAGATTTGTGCTTACTCGGCATAAAGTTTGAGTCTTTACTTTTGATCAAGTTCCTTGATCTGGGCTCAAACTTACCTTTTCATCTTCCTGCCGAAGGAAAGGGAGGCAGAGCGAAGAAAAATGAGAGGAAAATGTAGTATTTTGGCTTGTGTTTGGTTTGCACTCCTTGGATCTTGTTTGGCGAGATTTGTCGTTGAGAAGAACAGTTTGAAGATAACATCACCTGACTCGCTGAAAGGTGTTCATGAATGTGGAATTGGGAATTTTGGGGTGCCCGAGTATGGAGGTACAATGGTGGGAACTGTGTTGTACCCCAAATCCAACCATAAGGCGTGCAAGAGTTTCGACGATGGCGATGTTTCCTTCAAGCACAAGCCCGGTGGCATTCCAATTTTCCTGCTTGCCGACAGGGGAGGTAAAAGTTTGGAGCAGCTTAGAAAATTTCCATCTCCAATTTGTCCGAATTAGATTATCTCCTTGTTTTCCTATCCCTTTTTTTCTGGGTTTTAAGTGAAATTTGGGATCTTTGGTGATTTTTGCATTTGCTTATGTATTATGTTTTTCCTTGTTTCTAGTTGTCTAGTTGTGTTGCTCGCCTGCTCCATGATCTTCAAGTGCCTCTGCAGTGTCTGTTCTTATAAATGAAACAGTTTTTGCTTTCACTAAAAAACCTCAGGATTTGAAAATTTCCATGAAATCTCAAGTTCTGCTCATCACATTCTTATGATAATAATTTCACATGACCAGTGATTTGGTAGTAACTCAGCTACTTTAACCTGCTCGGCAGATTGCTATTTCACGCTGAAAGCGTGGAATGCTCAGAACGGTGGGGCCGCAGCCATTCTAGTAGCAGACGATAGAGTCGAGCCTCTTATCACCATGGACACCCCCGAGGAAGAAGACGCACGTGCAGATTATCTGCAGAACATAACTATTCCATCTGCACTCATTAGCAAGGAGCTCGGTGACAAAATTAAAAACGAACTAGCTAATAGCCGTATGGTCAGCATAAATCTCGACTGGAGAGAAGCTCTCCCACACCCAGACGAGCGAGTTGAGTACGAGCTCTGGACCAACAGCAATGACGAGTGTGGCCCCAAGTGCAATGCCCAGTTGGATTTCGTCAAGGATTTCAAAGGGGCTGCCCAGATACTGGAGCAGAAAGGATACACTCAGTTCACCCCGCATTACATAACTTGGTATTGTCCCGAGGCTTTTATACTGAGCAAGCAGTGCAAGTCTCAGTGTATAAACCACGGGCGGTATTGTGCACCCGATCCCGAGCAGGATTTCAGCAGAGGGTATGACGGGAAGGATGTTGTCGAGCAGAATTTACGCCAGGCGTGCTTTTTTAAGGTAACGAACGAGAGTGGGAAGCCGTGGCTTTGGTGGGACTACGTAACGGATTTTTCAATCCGTTGCCCGATGAAGGATAAGAAGTACACTGAAGAGTGTGCTAATGAAGTCATTCGGTCATTTGGTAGGTCATATATTATTCACGTAACATTATTTTGTAGTAAAATCTGATTTATATTTTCAAGATTTAATCTTTTATTTTAAGATGGCGAGACTTGGTACTTTTCTTTTGAGTCTAGTTCATAGTATCATTATATAGATATGCTACATCCCCATTGATTCATGATTTTGTGCAGGTGTTGATGTAAAGAAAATTGATGAATGTGTTGGAGACACCGAGGCAGATGTCGACAACCCAATTCTAAAAGCCGAACAAGAAGCACAGGTGCCAAAATTGTTTGATTCTTTATGTTTTTCCATGTCAACCTTTAACGGCAGGCTTTCTAAGAGTTATTTAACTGTTCTGATGCAATTTTATTTTCAGATCGGGAAGGGCACACGAGGAGATGTTACTATCTTGCCAACTCTTGTTATGAACAATAGACAATATAGAGGTATTTATAATTTTTTTTTTTTTCTTAACCTATTTGCATCATGCTTTGCAAAACGGAAAATAATGGTGTACGATTTTGATGTATTTTTTTGTTTTCCCTATTCAGGCAAGCTGGACAAGGGAGCAGTTCTCAAGGCAATTTGTTCAGGCTTTGAGGAGACTACAGAACCCGCAATTTGTTTGACTAGAGGTTATATTATTGCATTCTGTTATGTTTGTTCCCTATTGTAAGAAGCAGCATCTTGAAGTGTATGCCTTGTCCTTGCTATTTGCATTTGCAATTTGTTCCTTAGTGTTGATCATTTTTCTCTTAAATATTGGCGGATAGATATAGAAACAAATGAATGTTTGGAGAACAATGGCGGATGCTGGCAGGATGAGGCCACAAACATAACTGCTTGCAGGGTACTCACATCTTTATGAAACTCACTTCATTCTTTTCAGTGTTTTTAACTTCTATCTGATCTGGTTTGGAGTTTGTTACAGGATACTTTCCGAGGAAGGGTTTGCGAGTGCCCCATTGTGCAAGGTGTGAAATACATTGGCGATGGTTATACTCATTGTGAAGGTAATTATTCTACTATCTTTTAGTTTCTAATAAAAAGAAAATTAATTATTATCTGGACTAAGTTTCGTCACATTTTCTGGTTGGACAGCTTCTGGTTCATTGAGATGTGAAATAAATAATGGAGGATGTTGGAAGGGGACAAAAGACGGAAGAACATATTCAGCATGCATTGTGAGATTCACCGTGTCACGGTTTTTTTTTTCTCCTCCTGATTTTTGATATTATTGTTCTCTCGCTGTTCTTTTTTAATTTGGCCAATTTATTTCAGGACGATCACACAAAAGGCTGCAAATGTCCAGCAGGGTTCAGGGGTGATGGAGTTAATAACTGTGAAGGTACACATTATGATTGAGAAGATTTGAGATGAAATTGTTGGGATGCCCATATTGTCGATTGTTTTTAAATTTGGATGCCACCTAGATATTGATGAATGCAAAGAAAAGCTAGCTTGCCAGTGTCCGGAGTGCAAATGCAAGAACACTTGGGGGAGTTTTGAGTGCAGTTGCAGTAACAACTTATTATACATACACGAACACGACACGTGTATAGGTAACCATTTACTTAATTTGATAATTTGCAAAAGTTTGATGTTTTATCTACTGTCATATCTGGGTCATCTTTGTCGACATGTTTCGTTATACATTTTATTTCAAAATTTTACCTTTTTGTTACGGTTTTCAGGTAAAGAATCTACTGCACGATATAGCTGGAGCTTTGTGTGGGTGATTATTCTTGGTTTGGCTTTAGCAGGAGTTTCAGGGTATGCGCTCTACAAGTATAGGATCCGGGTAAGCATCAGATTCTGTTTTAAAACATGGAGATTTTGGGCTTTTACGACTCGTTTTTTCATTTTGACACTAACCTTTTGTACGCAGAGATACATGGATTCTGAGATTCGAGCAATCATGGCGCAGTATATACCGTTGGACAATCCAGGGGAAGTTCATTCTTAAAGATGACGCATAAATACTAATAAGGACGGGCAAAGAAAATGGAAATGAAAAGACGTGCGAATCTGTATCGACATCAGTTTATTCGGTTGCGAGGGGTTTGATGTTTTTGTACCTTGGACTATGTGTTTATAGATCTAAGGTGTGAAATTAGTGTACATGTAGAGTTCTGGTTTGGCTTTGACCACACTTGTGAACTCCCATTGATTTGGGAAATTTTCAGTTTGATGTGGATATTTATGTTCATTCATAAGGGAACTGTATTACAGGCAAAACATATAAACATGCAACAAGTTTTTTCATGATCATGAACTAACTAATGTAAAGAAGAAAAATTTATATTTTTTTTTTTTTCAAACAGTGTAACAGTCGGTTTTTATTGAACTAGTAAAGTGCACGTGCGATGCACGTGATACCTAATTTATATTGTAACGTGATTTAAAAATATTATATTTTATGTCATATGTTTTATGGTCGGTTTAAGTTTTTGCATTATTATTTCAATGAATCAAACAAAAGAGTACGTTACATGATGAATTGTATCAAGTTTACTGAAATTTGAGAAACAAATTTAAAGTTGCATGACAAATTTAGTTGACAAACTTTCATTATCTAAATTAGTCTTGTTTAGAGTTGGTCAGAAGTCAGTCTTGTTTGGTAAGACCGGGCAGAACTGAAACGAATTTCGTCCCCGCAAAGAGAAGAAGTTTCTTCCGAAACTCACTACCCAGTAATAGAAACCCCAGAAAGAGTACCGAGGAATGTCATGTGGTGGGCCTTTCATTATCTAAGTTAGTCTTGCACATGGTCTTTATCGACTTTGAGAAGGCCTATGATAGAGTACCGATGAATGTCATGTGGTGGGCTTTAGAAAGAACAAAGTCCCATCTGAGTACATTACCCTCATCAAGGATATGTACAAGGATGCGATGACGTGTGTCCGAACATGTGGGGTACTTCTCAATTAAAATAGAACTACACCAGGGATCAACATTGAGCCCTTATTTATTTGACTTGGTGATAGATGAGGCCACAAGGGACATACAAGGTGATATCCCTTTGTGTATGCTCTTTGCTGATGATGTGGTGCTAGTTGACGAGAGTATGACAGAGATAAATAGGAAGTTAGAGTTGTGGAAGGACACGTTAGAGTCGATAGACTTCAGACTTTGTAGGACGAAGACCGAGTACATGACGTGCGCTTTCAGCATGGCTACACATGATGATGGTGACGTTAGTCTTGACGGGCAAGTGGTGGCCAAGAAGGAGACTTTTCGGTATTTAGGATCAATGTTATAAAAGGATGGTGGCATTGATGAAGACGTTAGGCATAGAATTGTAGCTGGTTGGTTGAAACGGCGTCAAGCTTCGGGCGTTCTCTGTGATAAGGGGTGCCACAAAGGCTAAAAAGTAAGTTCTATAGGACGACGATTCGCCCGGTGAAGCTATACAGTGCTGAATGTTGGCCTACAAAAAGGCAACATGTCAAACAACTAAGTGTAGCAGAGATGCGTATGTCGTATGTTGCGTTGGTTTTGCGGGCACACAAGAAGGGATAGCACCCGGAATGAGGAGATTCAAGATATGGTCGGGGTGGCTCCAATTGAGGAGAAATTGGTTCAACATCGATTGAGGTCGTTCAGACATGTCCAACGAAGGCCTCCTGATGCACCGGTGCGTAGGGGAATTCTACAGCGGGTTGAATGTAAATAGAGGTAGAGGTCGGCCTAAACTCACTTGGGAAGAGTCGGTTAAGAAAGACCTTAAATATTGGAATATCTCCAAGGATTTCGCGGTGGATAGGAGCGCTTGGAGGCGAGCAATCAACGTGCCAGAACCGTGACTTTTGCTCCTTTCTCTTTTGCTCCAATCTCTTCCTTTTGTTTTGAGTCTTTTTTGTGTTTCTCTTACCATTGGTTCTCTTGGCTTCATCTCTAGCCTACCCCAACTTACTTGGGACTAAAAGACTATGTTGTTGTTGTTTTTTTGTTGTTAGCAAAGTTTTTAAATGTTATTCATATTACCTTCCTTTTTCCAGTGACATAATTTTCATATGCATTTTTTCACTTAATATAATAATTTATAGTCATTTTCATGAGTTATAAATATATTTTAAAATTTAATCTTGGCTAGTATTTTCTTTATGTACAAATATTATATTATAATTCATGAGCCATTACAAACATATGGTGCACAATCTCATTTAGATTCAAATAATCTTAAAACAGTAATTTAAAAAGATTGAAAATATTTTGTTTGGTAAATTATATTTTCATTTTCAATTAAGAAATAAATTGATTAAATTAAAAGTGTCATATCATATACAATGAAGTAATGAACGATAGTTTTGATCTTCAGGTCACATTTAATGCTCATAAAATTGTAATTGAATAAATATCAATCAATTAATATGTGGTGGACCACATAAGATGTATAATCTTAAGTTCATAACTACAAATCTTAATTTCCTCCAATTAGATGGATAATAATATTATATGGTAAAATTATACATATATATATATATATACACACACACACACACACACAAATATAAACTTGAACAAAATTTTAACTATGTCATATAATGTAATGTTATTCTCTATGATTTTATCAAGCCTGTAAAAAAATCCTAATAGTCAATCCAGATCATCGTTCATAATACTTAACTAAAAACTAAAATAGTTGTTACAGTCTCATTCATAAAACAATGTCGTTTTAGGATAAATTTTTAGTTTTAATTACTTTTTTATATTGTTCCAATTCCAAATTATATACATATAAATACTCTTAAAGTATGGCTAGATACTTTTACTTATTTTTAATATATTTTCTTTAAAAATATTTTTATACTCATTATGACCTCTTAATGTTAATTGAAGGTCCATATTTTCAAAAAGAGCAACATATAATTATCTAAATTATTTGGAACTCACATTGTTTAAATCTTGCACAATCGTCAAAAGATGTCAGAAAAAAATACTGAGTGAATCCTTACACTTTCATGTATATTAGTTGCATACACTATCTTTTTTGATAAAAATATTTTTTAAACTCTACTTTAATGAAATGCACCTTTTAACTAAACTATACAGTACATAATTTATAATATAATAAAAATAAAAATTAATGTTAGTTACCATTATTATTTTTTCTAATCAATTTATTATTGTGTTCAAATATTTTCTATAACTTTGTTCAAAGTTGATTTATTTTATAATATATATTTGATTACTACATTCAATTGTTTTTAGTTAACTGAATTTTATTTGTCATTATTCATACTTATAATTTTACTATATCTTATATTTATATCTCTTTTACTAATCGTTGTAATTACAGTTGTATTATTATAAAAATATCAAATGTAAAAGATATTTGAAGCAATCAAATTCATTTATTTGGCAATATGTCTTCGCATTTAATTTTTTTAATGTTCATCATTGTTCTATTATCGAGTAGTTTTTATCATTACATTTCAGTTTATAAGTTTTTTATTCTTGTTAAAAATTGACTTTTTTGATAAAAAATATTTTTTAAACTTTATAGTACATAATTTATAGATTTATAGTATAATAAAAATTAATATTACTTAGAATTATTATTTTTTATAATGAATTTATTATTGTGTTCAAATATTTCTTATAGCTCTATTTAAAGTTGACATATTTTATAATATATTTGATAACTACGTTCAATTAATTTTATAATATATTTGATAATCATTGTAATAATAGTTTTATATTATAAATATATCAAATGTAAAAGATATCTTAAGCAATCAATATTCATGTATTTGGCATTACGTCCTTGCATTTAATTTTTTTAATGTTCTTCATTGTTCTATTGTACAGTAGTTTTTATCACTATATTTCAGTTTATAAGTTTTTTATTCTTTTTTAAAAATTGAATTTTTTGATAATTTTTTTTTTAAACTTTACTTTAATGAAAGACACCTTTTAACTAAACTATGTAGTAAATAATTTATAAATGTATAGTATAATAAAAATAAAAATTGATATTAGTTGGCATTATTATTTTTTTCTAATCAAGTTATTATTGTGCTCAAATATTTCTTATAGCAATTAAATATAAATATTAATAAAAATAATAAAAGTAAAATAATAACATACTTTTTATATTTTAATAATTGCTAATATTTTATAAATTCATGTGCAAAATTTATATTTTGTTTTCTTTCATATTATGTCATGTGTTTTTTTCTTATCTAATTTGCGTTTTTGTTGTACAGATAATACATTTCTTGACTAAATTATAAAAAATTACCATTTGGTAAGCTAATGTCATAGTTTTGGTGTTCTGTACAGTATCAAACAAACACATTTTGATAATTTTAAAAGTTTGTTCAAATTTTAATATTACTGAAAATGTGGAGTGAAAAAAAATTCAAACGGGGATATTGTGATAAATAAAAGGCATTGATAATTAGCTACTCTCCAAAGGTTACGCAAGTGGAGAGTCTAGTCGCTAGAATGTAGTTTCCTCTTTGCTTAGGTATTTAAATCATTATTATATTAATTAATAATTAAAAATATTAGTATAGATGAGTATTAAATTACAAATTTGACATTATAGATATGAAAAAGTAAGGGTATTGTAGGCATATCATATTTTTACAGATTCATTGGCTCTTTTATAATAGTATAGAAGAGTCACTCTGGGATAATGTTCTCCTACCCACTGCTTATGTGACATGCACACATTGGTGATGTTAATATGTTAAAAAAAAATACATCACCAATATGTGCATGCTACATAAACGGCAGACATATTAACATGTGCCCACTAGTCTAATTCATGTTTATATTCTGTTCATGTTTATATAACTACCTAAAATAAATATTTCATCCCAATATATAATTTTTTTTTCTATAGGCAAAAACCAACTTGTTTCAATGCCAAAATAAATTTGATATTCAAATTTAAGCGCGATGTACACATGCAATTAAAAGTTTATTGGTAACGACATGAAAATCATATTATGAGGATCCTCACGCATTCAATTCTTCCATTTCAAACAGTTCCCAATTTTTCTTTTTGTATTCATTCATTTAAAAGAACCAGCCAATGAAGGAAAACAATTTGTGAACTTACCAATGTAATAAGATTTTTGAAAATCAAACAAAAATTTGGACGAAAATATTTAATACCACAACGACCTTTACATAGTATAATTATAAATTGCCACCTACAATAGTTAATATTTGCCATCATTCAAAAACTTATCTCAAAATTTCATTTGTCACCCATTATTACATAGCCAATTTTCTAGCTTCCTTTTGTTCTTTCCCCCTGCCAACTTCACTCCCAAATTCATTCACAAAGCAGCCTTTTTTTCGTTTCCTATTTAACCGTTTTTTTTTCTTTTAATGAAAATGGGCATTCAGAGTTTGCTTTCGGAAATGGAGACGATGGATGACATGGCATCAATCTTCAAAGGGTTCGGAGACGAGCAGAGCACATTGTTCGACAAATACGAGCGGCTCTCATTCGAGGTGCACCTTAACCAGGCCATCCTTGGCCGGAGCTTCTCAGAGCCGGCAGCAATGAGTCTCCGGCCGCCGCCCAAGCAGGGGGCGAGGCCCGGAAAGCGCGGGCTAGGATCGGGCTTTCAGAAGGTGATCAAGAAGCTGCTTAGCCCAATCCTTGGTAGTAGTAAGGGGGCAGTCAAAGATGCGGGTATCAATGCCAAGGACCCAATGTTCTTGAAAACATTTTGCAAGTCTCAAAGGGCTTGAATTTGAATTCATTTGATCTTTTATTATAAATTATAGTTAGGCCTTTGTTCCTAGCATATGGGAGATATTGTAAAATATATATATATATATATATATATATATATATATGAATGTTTTTATGTTGTTTTAGAAAAATATATTCTCCATATACTGATTGCATAGGTGCGAAATCTCATCAATCAACTAAATAAATAGTCATACGGATCAATGCATTTCTTCAACAATAGGGCGGTTCAACATATATACATATTTTTAAACTGAAATGTGCGTATTTTAAAGAAAAGATATATAAACAAAAGTATGACATTTCATAATATAAACATGCAATTTTGTTGCAAAAGTATAATGGCTCGACTCGTCCATTAAGTAGGTTGCTTTAAAGATTTTCATGCTAATTAAATTAATTTTGTGATAATCATGTATGCCCATTCTTATTCTAGGTCCAAAAGCTTAATTATGAGGGGACTCATTAAGTAGTATTAGTAATAAACTATTTTTTATTTTTTGAGGTTTTCCTAACCAAGATTTGGGAAATGAGCCAAATGGCAAATCTAACAATCTATTGCCAACCACACGGGCACTTGACTACTTAATTTTTAGCCTTCGTTTATTGGGATTGAGTTAGTTAAGGTGCATGCTATTATCAACAAGCTTGACGACTTGTCTTCGTAATCATTGTGAAAATAAATCCCTAAATTTTGAATTCAAATGGTTAAGTGCTCTACTAAATATGAGCACGTTAGTTAAGTAACATTGAATAATAAGATCCAAATAGTCGTATTGAAAAAATAAAATTATCAAATTAAATGGTGAATATAGAAATCAATAATAATAAAATTTTTGCTCGCCTAATATATAAAAATCTATTAGCCGTCAGATCTACAAACGAGCTTAACTCATTCTGTTGGGTAACTAACTCGATTGATAGTGATACATCCATAACAGAACAGTTGAACTCTTTCATCACACAAGCATATAAACACTTGCAAGATACTATCATCAGCTGTATATATATATATATATTACATTACACGGCACGAAATATATATA